TGACCAATGCTGCGTTGCTCAGTGGTCAGCCTAATAGTGGCCCTGAGTTCATTTCTTCTCCTGAGAGGATTACTTTGCTCAAAAATTTGAAATAAAAAGTTGTAATAAGAAGGAATGAAATAAAGAAAAATAGGAAAAAGAAGGTAAAAAATGAAAATTAGAAAATTTGTGAGATTATTATAATGGTAAGAAATGTTTCGGTCCATTAAGTCATATACATTTCTTGCCATTACCACAATTGGATCTCGCATCATCACGACGATTGCGGTAATTGAAGTTAGTGAAAGTTAGAGTAATTGTGTAATGCATGTTAGTGGTGAAAAAGTGTTATGGAAGATGAGTAGTAATATAAATATCAAAATTGTTTAATTAGTTAATAATAATACATTTAATGGTAGTTAGTCAGCGGTTTTTCGTTTGAAAGGCATATTTCGTATTCTGTGGCGGAAAAAGCTTACGCTATATTTGCATCCTGCTTCTTGTTAAGATTTGCTGATGCTTAGATATTTTCGCCTTTGAGAAAAGAAGTGAATAGGGAACACAGTTGATGCATTGTTGTTTTTGTATACCTGATTTGATAAGAATTTTTTTTTATTACGTATTTACAGAATCGTCGTCAAGTTTCCACACTACAGTTTCGTCATCCCCGGTTCAGAACAAAGATGCCAGCATAGCTGTGAGTATTTTTTTCTTCGTCCCTGATAATGTAGTAAACACGTTTGGTTCTGTTTTTGTGAAGAAGCTTTTGTTCGTTATAAGAACTGAAAAATTTGGAATGCTCCTGAAATGCTAATGAAAATAATGAAATTGACAACGTTTAAAGGGTTGGGGCAAGACGGGGTAAGACGTATCTTACGGCCGTATGTGTAATTTGGTCACAGTGTAGGCCAACGAAGAAAAAAAAACAGTCGAATTTTAATATTAGGTGAAACTCAAAAGAGCCATTTAGCTATGTCAAGTAAGCAAACCGGTATTTAGAGGAGGTGACTTCTGTGTTTCATCCCTGAACTGTAGACACAGACGGCTGAATCGCTGCGAAATGGGGTGGGATTCATCAGTACAGCACCCCATTTCGCTGTGTTGGAGGGGACATAAGTTTTGTTGTTTGCTGCTTGATTTACGAAATTTTTGATGGGAATTTGTCGCACGTAAAAATTAAAAGAGATTTATCGCAAAGCTAATGAATGGAGAATTAAGAACCGAACAAACGAAAAAGAATGTGATCCAGTTCAGCGATTCTCTCAATAGATCCACTTAGCAGAACTTTAACTGTTCAGTCACTCACCTTAGGGTAACTAGCATAATGCTTTTGGTTGAATTATAACTATTGGATAACTAACACTGTGTTGGGACATTATCATCTCGTCTCGAACTTGGCTAGTCCTAGAGAGCCTCATTTATTAGGTATCGCTAGTTTTGTCACTAGTTTCTGAAGTAAAATTTGAGCGAAAGTAAGTAAAACAAAAGTTTTTTGAAAATAAGCCAATCAAAAGTTTTTAAAAAATATTTTTTTTTGAACAAAAGTTTAGTTTTCGAAATGTTCCTAAAAAAGAATTTTTTTTACTTTCAGTTTTTTTTTTTTTTTAGTTTTAAGTTTTTTTTTTTAAGTTTTTTTTTAAAATCTATAATTGCAGCAGTCACTGCCAACATCAAGTCCACGAAAGAAAACGAGAAAATTCAAAATCAGCATAAGTCCCAGTTCATCTCCGAGAAGCCGATTTGCTGCCTGCATGCCTCCTGCCGATATTAGCCCTAGAAGTGCGGCTGACAGCCCTCGCACACCAGTGAGTTTGATACAGTTTATTTGAGTTTATTAGATTATCTCTTCTTTTTTCGCAGATGTCCGAATGACAGCGATTGAAGGGGAG